GCATGTGGACCACCCACCCATCCAACCACCCAGCCCATCCACTCATCCAACCAACCACCCACCCACACCACCCACTTCGTCCAACCATCCACTTCATCCAACCACCCACCACTCATCCAACATCTAATCATCCCAACCACCCACCACTCCCACACATCCACACAATCCAACAGCCACCCACTTCACCCCATCTACTCATGCCAACCCCCATGCTCACTCAGTCCGAACCACCCACCAATCTCACTCACCCGCACCCACCCCATCCACCACCCAATCAATACACCCACCATCCACGCACCACCCATTCCACCCACCCCCCTCGCCATCCACACCACTTCACCAACCCTAACACCACCCATCCACCCATCCAACCATTCACCCCCCTCCACTCCCCAGCCATCCACAACCTCCACCTTACTCAGCCATCCAAGCCAACCACCCAGTCCACCTTAAACCTTTGACGCTTGGACCACCTTGTAACCTTCTGTCGTACTTTATGACCCGTTGTCGGAAAACTCCGATGCGTCTCGCTGCCACCGTGCACGCAGCTTCAGGCTTGTCCTCACAGTCGATGTATGTCGCGACGCAATCTGCGATTGGAGACCTGTGGGTGCCGCCTATGTTTTTTGTTCGTCATCAATGAGCAGCTAAAAAATACTTACAAGAGAATAATACTACAAACATATCGTTTGAATTCGAATCACTCAAGGAAAAACCGCCACACAAATTCTAAGATTCTAGATTCTATAGATTGTAGTAGTACATTTGGTCAAGGTAAGCCACAATTTGTATATAGCAACTGCAACGTTTCACGAATAGCCATTGTAAGCAAGAGTAGGCCATGAGTGTAAAAAGGTAAAGCATGAAGTTATTGGATGCATAAGTAATGACGATCCTTCACCCCCCCCCCCCCCCCCCCCCCCCCTGTACTTTATCTGTGTCTCATGCATGCTGCTGAAACTCACAAACAGCGTCGGTTTAACATGCAAAACATTTTCCTTGCCTTTTACAGGAGTTTGTTAGGTCCAATTCCAGGACCCTAAGATTTAAGCTGAATACAACCTTATACCTCGCATCTTGCAATCATAGTTAGTGAACAAATTCTTGACTCAAGCAATCTCAGACAGTAGACAGCACTATAACTTGAGTGTAATCAATTATTCTAGCATAATAACTTGTTATCACATAGATAAATGTAGAGTCAAAACAGACATGGCCTCAATTTCAAGACTTCCGTGACGCAAAACATAACTAGAGCTATTTATTTCAAGACTCTCATGCTCTGGAAAATGTCGCTTAAAGGTTCTCGGAGTTACGACAGGTTTCCCATGGACCTGTACACACCTCTAATACACTTGTTATCATCATTAGATAGAATGTGGCAAACTAGAACATGCAATCCAATTTCAAGGACTTTCCAGACAGTTGTTAGACTGGTCGTTGCCAAGACCTGTAAACACCTGTAAACGGATGACCTACCTTGCTCCTGGCTTGAAATGGTTTCCCTTCCTATGTACCTGCCGGGAAAGCTCTTCTGAATAGCGGCGAGCGTACCCATCGTATTTTTCGATCTCTGCGTCTCCTCTAAACGAACAGCTACAACACAAGACAACTAGGCCATTAACGTAACCATTGGATGTGCGAGCGTGCGACCCAGGCTGGCCGAACCAGGCTTGGTGATGACGTAACCGAACATGAATGAGGTACTGATAACATTAGGTACTGCAGCGGTTATCCGCTGATCTCACTGTGATGCGAAGAATTCAGCGGCGGGCACGCACTCAGGGCACAGTGAGCACATGAGAAAAGCGAGAGTGAGCTCACTTTACAAAATCTACGCAGTCTTATAGATAAGTACTGGTCTTCATGAGACACAATATGTTGGTCTATCTAATATCTATCTATGTTGATACAAAATCTCGGCCTAATACTTGGGTGCTGGTTATATTAGTGTCCCACTGACACTTGATTATGGTCTCGTTATTAAAGTTTAGTAGCAGGTCTAAACAAAGATAACTGAGACATTTGATTGCGTGTTCTCGATATGTCGGTTGAGACCAAGCCAAGTCAACAGTAACAGTCAAGTAAGTAATATTCAGTAATATAGTCAAGTACCAGTCAATCGAGTACATGGTTTCAACTAAATTTCAGTACAGGTGGGCCACGAGACAGTCCAGTCCGACTGTGAGACGAGGACTCCTGTCTGATATAATATAATATATTATCATTAATATAAATATATAATATAATATATAATAAATCATATAAATATATAACTATAAGATATCAATAAACTAACTAATATATATAAAGCATAACTAATTGAGTAATACAATCTATAGTATAACTATAACATATATATAATATACATAATATAATATAACATATATAACATAATATAAATAATTTATTAATAACTAAAAGGGCGAGTTGTCCGCACTACAAATGTATTCCGTTTTCTCCCCAAGATGTTGTAAGTACTAAGTTTTGGTTCCCCAAATACAAGGTGCAGTGACCCTGGTTTCGGTACCGACACACCTTCTAACAGATGTGTAAGTATACAAGTTTGGGGTTCGCCGCTAGGTCAATTTAAACCGAGTTATAGCGTGAAAAGAAATATGATCACGGTCAAGGTCAAGGTCAAATAACAATCCGCGAGTGACCTGGTTTTGGTAGCGCACATACCTTCTCCCAAGCATGTGTAGCCAGTTTGGTCGCGCTGGTCAATTAAGCAGCCGAGTTATAGAGTGAAAGAGAATATGATCAAGGGTCAAGGTCGAAGGTCAAGATAAAATCCCAGTGACCTGGTTTTTGTCGCGGCTCACACATTCTCCCAAGATGTGTTAGTATACCCAAGTTTGGTAAGCGCTACGTCATTAGGGTCCGAGCTTATTAGAGCGGAAGGGCAAATATGATCAGGTCAATGCGTAAAGTCACAATACAAGGTCGCGCTGACCTGGTTTCGGTAGCGCTAGGTCAATGAGGGCAGAGTTAATAGAGCAGGAAGACAATATGAGTCAAGGTCAAGCGTAAAGGTCAAATAAAGGTCGCAGGCTGACCTGCCGTTTGGTAGCCTGCCTCACCTTCTCCAAGATGTGTAAGATCCCAAGCTTTTGTAGCGCGATGTCAATTAGGGGTCGAGTTATGAGCAGGAAGGAAATTTGTCTCGCGGCAGCGGCGCGCTGGCCGGAGACATGAACATAGTATCAATATACAGGAATCAATAATACTAATTATAATATAGGCGTGGCTACGCATCGGGTTACCGACGCCCACTCCCGACTTCACACGTTCGGTCATATATTCTTATGTGAAACACAACTCATATTTTTCAGTAAAAAAACAATACATACAATAAGTTTTACCATAATCATTACTTACCTTTAGGTATTATCAAAATAAATCAATTTTTGTTACTTTTGAAGCAATATGTACATCAGTAATCAACAATTTGAGAGGGGGCTTGGCCACATCGCTGCGGTGGATTGGGCAATCTGTGACTGGAGAATTTGTAATGGATGACCGAAGCGTACGCCACTGCCGCTACTATATATATAACGTCGGCTCAGAGGTCTCGCGGAGGAGGATGTTGAGAGAGCCGTAGACATGCCACAGACTCAGGGCGCTTATGAAGACCTTGGTCTTGCCCGCTCTGTACGCTCGGCGATATAATATATAAATTATAAATATATAAACTACTAAAATATAAATATAATATAATATAATATAATATAATACTACATACCTATAATATAATATAACGTTGGTCACGCGTCTTGCGGGGACGCGAGACCGCTGAGGACACGCACCGACTCTGGGGCCTTGATGAAGACCTTGGTCTTGCCCAGCTGGTACTGGTCACTGTCCATGCTGACGCTCTGCATGATGTGTGCGATGCCTTGACGCGGCTCCCCGCGCCACTTCGGCCCATGTCTCACGGTCACGATCGCGTACCTGCACAATGAACACACACAGGGTGTTCACATGATGAACACATGCGGGGTGTTCCTACAATGAACACACGTGGGGTGTTCACACGAGAAGCACCAGGGGTGCTTCACATGATGAACACCCGCGGGGGTGTTCAACATGATGAACACACGCAGGGTGTTCACACAATGAACACACGCGGGGTATTCACATGATAAACACATGCGGGGTGTTCCCACAATGAACACACGCGGGGTGTCCCCACAATGAACACATGTGGTGTTCCCACAATGAACCCAGCAGCGTGCTCACAAGTAAATCAGCAGGTGCTTCCCACAACTAAACACAACAGAGGTTTCCACATGAATGAACCGTTTACACGTGACCGCGTAGTGTTCCCACAATGAACACACGCGGGGTGTTCCCACAATGAACACACACAGGGTGTTCACATGATGAACACACGCGGGGTGTTCACATGATGAAGCAACGATCCTGTACACATCAACCACTGTCTGGCTCGGCCTTAGGGAATCCATCAGCAGCAGCCAGCAGCGCGCCGCTGTTATACAACATACGATGTTATACACTGTCCGTGGCGTGCCCTCTGTCTGGGATGCAACACGACACCACACTGACACACCCGCACGCACGCACGCACGCACGCACGCACGCACGCACACACACACACACAGAAAGTTCATACAACTAGACAGAGGGCACTCACGGAAACTGATACCTCCGCAGCGTGTAACATGTACTGTGTAGTACAGCTGGCTCGGCTGCGCTGCTGCTGACTGGACGCTTCTACAGGCGAGCTGCTGCTGACCTGGACGCCCTAAGGCGAGGCTGTGCTTAACTGACGCCTACATGGCGAGCTGCCTTTTTGCTGAATCAATCGTGCGAACACTAGTGTCTACACACCCACCACTAGGCGAGCTCCTTGCTGATTCGAGTCGCGCGAACACTAGTGCGCTACACCACATCACACGACAACACACACGCGATGAGATTGCATGCCTCCGGTTTGCCGCGGAGGTTAATGAAGCAACTATCACGCGTGCATCCGCTATGTCTAGATAAATACGCCAACGCCGCACGCCCACGCACCCCGCACACACACGCGAAAGTCATACAATGAGTAACGATCAGCAACTGCATCCGCTATGTCTAATAAATACGCAGCCACGCACGCACGCACTCACACACACAGCACGCCCAACACGACCGCACGCCACGCATGCCGCACACGACACACAGACGGCACACCGCACGGCACGCACACACGCACGCACACACAGCCCACACAGACGCACACGCTACGTCACGCACGCAGCGACACAAACAGATCAAACAACGACAAGACCTGCTGCAGAACTTGATACCGGACGGCGGTAGGCGAATCCAGCTCGCCTTACCGCGATGCTTCTCCTTCAGTCGAGGTACTACCAGCTTGCGTGTTTCACCCTCGTGGCAGTCAAACATACGATGTCTCACGACAACGCCCACGACACACACGAGACCGTCGACTCTGGATCTGTTATCATCCACCATTACTGTAGTCATGGTATACGCCATAATTTTCTGTGTGTACCGCATATTTCTTGCGAAGTTCAGACGACTGGGGCAGATTTCGCGAGTGCGTTAATTTTGCGGTCTGAGATTCATGATTATTCGATATTATTCGTATGAATTAGTTTCGCGGTGTCTGTCGTATTTTCGCAGTCGCGGACGCTATGCGGAAATCTTGCCGAACAATTAACCCACCGCCGAAATAACACGCGTATACAGTACATTGACAGTTATCAGAGGTATTTATTTCTCAGAACAGACCGCACTGTACGTTCAGGAGGAACCTGACCTATCCTCCGCTGTTGTTGACTGATGGAGCCAGCACTAGCCAATCTGCATTGCGGACTAGAACGTGCTAAAAACAATGCTTCTTGCCCAGTGTGCACACATTTTGGCATGCATACCTCAAAACCGCGTACACGTAAGGCAAGCTTAGAGTCACTAGCTAGCGCATACAACTGGCTGGTTATCTGACTCGAGCTGATCATGATTGATCAACTCATGAGCACCCCAAAACCGCGAGGACTCATCCTTCGTCAAGACCACCAGACCACACATGAACAACACAGACCACACATGCACCACATAAACACACAGACCACACATGCACACCCATGAACCCCATGAAACACATGAACACATAGACCACAGCATGAACACACATAAACACAAAGACAACACATGAACACACATAAACACCTCAGACCACCATGACAGCACATAACACACATGAACCATATACACACAGACCACACATGAAAACACATGAACACATAGACCACACATGAACACACCATAAACACACAGACCACACAGACCACACATAACACACAGAGCCACACATGAACACCTCATGAAACACATGACACATAGACCACACATAGACACACATAAACACACAGACCACCGCTGACAACAGCCACCCATAACACACATGACCACACACGTGAACAAACAGGAGAGTGGTAGCGCTCAAAGACAACAAGATAAAAATCACATCAACGCTGACGAACTTCGAGAGCCGTATTTCTTTTACGATCGTTCATATTTGTTAGATATATCTCTATTTCGTAACGCCTTCACCAACCGGCTCTCTTCCCAGTCGTTGCGCTTCTTCGTCTCGTTTTGGCTTGATGCAGCGAATATAGTGTGGGTGCTTCATCAACGTCTCAACCAGCTTGTTGGCTGGGTCTGAAGGAACAGGGTAGTGATAACGACATGTTTTTGGCCTTTCTGGTAACATATAACTATGCTACGACCAGTCTGTGTGTATGTTACAGTCAAACCCTACATAACGTCGATTCAAGAGCTATCGAATATGTCCTTCATAGATAGGACGCAAACCAGCCGCACACGGAACACAACAGGAGAGTGGTACGGCTCAAAGACAACAAGATAAAAATCACATCAAAAGCTGACGAACTTCGCGAGCTGTATTTCTTTACGATCGTTCATAATTTGTTAGATATATCTATTCGTAACGCCTTCACCAACCGGCTCTCTTCCCAGTCGTTGGCCTTCTTAGTCTCGTTTGGCTTGATGCAGCGAATATAGTGTGGTGTACACTTCATCAACGTCTCAACCAGCTTGTTGGCTTGGGTCTGAAGGAACAGGGTAGTGATAACGACATGTTATTGCCTTTCTGGTAACATATAACTATGCTACGACCAGTCTGTGTGTCTGTTACAGTAAAACCCGTACATAACGTTGATTCAAAGGAGATATCGAATATGTCCTTCATAGATAGGACGCAAACCAGCCCGCACACGGTGCACATTCGGCACGGAGCCGTAGGCGCGCGCCGATTGTGCACCGTGTGCGGGAGGCTTTACCTTGATCTTGTTACTGGCGGTTGACGGGCGACCACGCGTCTGCTGGTTCACATTCTCCGGGAACAGGGAGCAGATGAAAGGACTAGCACAGAAAAAACACGGTCACTTACTCACGTCACAACTCCACGAAGCGAGATGTCAGCTATATGCATATATACACTCATAAAGCTTACTGAAGCATAATATATACTGATGCACATAAGCATTCCAGTGACCATTAACGAAAGAATGCCACAAGAGCTGTGTAAAATTAATCTAAGACACGATCCAGCCGCTAAAATAAAAAACAATTCCGCATGAAATTCCACAAAGGACGATGCCATCTCTACACGATTGAATACTGGTGCATTCCAGTCACTATTAAATAGAGAATGTAATGTGAGCTAATTAAATATAAAACCATTAATTCAGCTACCATTGAAGAAAGAGCCTGATGTGACCACTATACATTACAGAAGGAACCACTATTAAACAAGGCAAGAATGCTTCATATAAAATCAGAGTGATGTTTAATTAATTCATCAAAGTCTATTATTCATGACAATGTCCATGACCAATATGGACACCGTACATGATAGCTAGTGGATATACATGACATGGCAGCTGTGAAATAGCTTGATGAATACGACAATGGTGACGATGATGATGACGACGACAACGATGATGATGATGATGATGATGATGATGATGATGACAATAATGATGATTGGACCTTGTGTTGAGGATGATAATAAGAGGCTGTGTGCACATGCCTGCCGTGCTGTACTCACTTCTCGCTAGACTGCATGAGGAGCACTAGATCGTTGAACAGCACATCCCGGTTACGCTCACAAAAGCCATCGCCATCATACGATACCTGCGATCAGACGCCATTATTCATGCAAACACACACGCGGGGTCACACTTCACATCACTATGACACTTTTGGGACCTAATAATCTAGACATGCGTTTGATTGCGAACCACGAGCAGAGCGAGAAATGAAATCAGGCGGGAGTAAAAGACGAGAGCCATGCACAGCCACGGGGCAAAAACACAAAACGATGCAGAAATAGGACAGGACAGTATATAGGAGAACAGCTATACAACTCTTTCATATACATACGGTCCCTTCCTACGCCCCCAATGCCGTCACTCAGTTGGGCATTGTTCTCAAATATCAGTGACTTGAACGAAAATGAACAAGTACACCTGCTACACAGTAACTAGTATGACATATAGGTTCGCGCACAAAGATCATGGATGTTCGTACTGCAATATCACACAATAGCATTGGCTGACATTTAACAAATGGTCTTTTTAGAAACAGATTTCTATAATGAATAATAGCAGTTATGTGCAGCAGGCAAATAAAAGGTTACTAATTTTTTTTAAACTACATATTCAATGCAACCTGTAATTGGTAATGCAAATGTGCTCAAATAAACTTAGTCAGAAAGTCTTAGTCAGATCTTAGTCAGAACATCCTCCACAAGTGCACTTTCAGGATTAGTGGAAGAATATAATATATTATATAATGAGGGGTATTACCTTTACATAGTAAAATATTACAGATTGGCAGTTTCTATGCTATCACACTATTTTTATAACAATGATCATTCAGCTATATCTGGTTAGGCAGTAGTGAAATGTTAGCATGATATGTTTAAAAACTAAAAAATATGCATGCTTAAATCATTTCAGCATCAATTGGAGTTTTGTGTTTTAACATAGTGATAGCCACTTCCTTTTGATATTCAATTTCCGTATTTATCCAAAAATCAGTGTAACTGAAGCTGTTTAAATTTATATCATCACAACGTGTGCACAACACTGGACCCCATATGCGAAGCTAAGGGGAACATTTATATACACAAGGAGCACTGTACATCAAACTTGTGCTGCTATTATTGATGGACAGATGGATAGATAGATGGATGGATGGATGGATGGATGAATGGACGGACGGACGGACGGACAGGCGGACGGGACGGATGGATGGATGGATGGGAACCACAACATAAACACACAGAAGCCACCATGAACACACATGAAAAGCACATGAACACATAGGACTCACACATGAAACAACAACATAAACACACAGACCACACAGTAACACACAGACCACACAGTGAACACACTGAACACACGTGAACACAACAGAAGAGGTGTAGGCTTCAAAGACAACAAGATAAAAATCACATCAAAAAACGCACGCACACAAACAGATCAACAACGACAGACCTCTGCAAGAACTTGATGAACGGACGGCGGTAGGCGAATCCAGCTCGCCTCACACGAATGTTCTCCTTCAGTCCGAGGTACTCCACCTGGTGTTTCACCCTGCGTGCAGTCAAACATACGATGTCATCACGACACGCACCACAACACACACACTGACAGTCGACATGAGTTCTGCATCATCCACATACTATAGTCTGTATACGCCATAATTTTCGTGTACAGATATTTTTCCGAATTCAGACGACGGGCAATTTCGCGGTCGGTGAATTGTGAATTATTCGATATTATTCGGTACGAATTATTCGCGTGTTGTTATTTTCGCGGTCGGGGACGAATTTGCAAAATTCGCGAAAATTAAACCACTGCAAAATATACAGCGTATACAGTACATTGACAGTTATCAGAGGTATTTATTTCTCAAGAACAGACACACTGTACGTTCAGGGAGGGCAACTGACCTATCCTCCGCCTGGTTAGTGTGACTGATGAGCAGCACTAGCCAATCTGCATTGCGATAGAACGTGCTAAAAACAATGCTTCTTGCCAAAGTTGCACACATTTTGGCATGCATACGTCCAAAACCGCGTACACGTTAGGCAAGCTAGAGTCACCTAGCTACAGCATCCAAGGTGGGCATGGTTATCTGACTCAAGCTGATCATGATTCATCAACTCATGAGCACCCCAAAACAGCGAGGACTCATCCTTCGTCAAGACCACACAGACCACACATGTGCACACAGACCACACATAAACACACACACCACACATGACCACACATAAACACACATGAACACACACCACACAAACCACACATGAACACACATGAACACACAGACCACACATGAACACACATGAACCCACATGAAAACACATGAACACACAGACCACACATGAACACACATAAACACACAGACCACACATGAACACACAAGAAAACACATGAAA